GTAGCACTCGACCGCGGACCCCCCCCCCCCTGCCCCCTGTAGTTTGATAGTTGTGTGCGCAACAGCATACCGGTACAGCACCGTCATCGTCGTCGGCATATCTACGGTGGCATTGCTCTACTCGCTACTCACTCCCAGCCGTCGTAGTGCTTGAAGCGCTTCGCCCGCCATTCAGCAACGCGTGTACACGGTTTTTCTCTGCACGTGTGTCTCTCGTTTGTATCTCCACACCATGTTGGTCGGACGGAGCTCCAGCTATCGTACGACGACATAGCAGGACGGAAAAGCGGGTAGAGACAAGAGAACAAAGGGTGGCGAGGTTCGGCTACGGCGGCCGAGTTGGGCAGGGGAAAGCACGTTTCAACCTTGCAATAATTATTGCCTCAGTTCTCTCACTTCTCCCGGGCCACCCGCCCTCCTTCGCTTCCCTCTAGGTTTCTCTTGGAACCAAATGACCCACGTGCCGCGGAGCTTCGGCGTAGATTCGTGTTCAAGGTGTGGAAGGGTTCAGCTATGTCGTGTATGGAGTGTGGTCGCGGTGGCGGCAACGAGGGGACGACACCGAATTGTTGCTGACGCTGATGAGCTGATATTCGTCAGAAAACAGAAATTTTCCGATATGAGGGGCGATGAAATTGCATTTGGTGTCTGACCCGATCGTGTTCCTTTTTGATGGCAATACCGTTGTGGCTCAAGGTCGCGAGGCTTTACATATACACAGCTCACACCTGGTACTGAAATCACTTGAACAGAACCAGCATTTCCTCGGTCACATGGGTAGCGTTCAAGACTTTGTGGACGATGAGCGGGATATGAAAAACAGATGGAGCAGGCCTTACAACCGGTCCTATCGATTCAAACGACGTGGGATTGCTTCTTTACTGGCCCGCCACTTGCGTTATGCCTGCCACGGTGCCCACCAGCTCTTGACGCGTTCTGTTTCTTCGACCAGCATGTGAGAGCGACCCATCGCAACAGGGGCTCTGTGGACGGCATGGTAACGGGTACCCCCTTGTCCCCTGTCCCGCGCCTCCTCGCGCCCTGTGACGCACTTTTGAGTTGCGCAGTTGGTGCCGCTGCTGAACCCCGACGGCATCGCGGCGGGTCACTTCCGGCAGGACTCGTACGGTAATAACCTGAACCGGCACTACATCGATCCGGACGTGGAGAAACACTCTTCCGTGTACGCTTCGAAGGCGGTGGTGATGCACCACGCGGCGAGGCCCTTGGGAAGGTAAATCTTTCGGGAGGGGGGGGGAGGGGGGGCTGTGGAGCGGAATCAATCGGGGTAGGTTTTTGTGTTGCTCCAAAAGGGTATTGATGTAGAGCTTGTAGGTCAAATGCTGTGAGTTTTATGCACTACACAGCATGAGCGAGAGCATCACACACACCACAAGTGATGTTTTTGGCCTCGCTCCTCTCGTCGCCACCCCCGGATGGGGTGGTGGTGTTCAAGCAGCAGGTCGCGCCACTCAACCTCGCCTTTCGAGCGCGCGAGGGTGACCTGTCCTTTTCACCATTATACCTCCCCCCGCGCGCGCTCTCCCTGCTCTCTTGATGGGTGGCTTCCTGGCTGGGTGGCCGACCTTGCCTGTGGCCTCAGGGGGCGGCTCACGCTATACCTAGATCTCCATGCGCACGCGTCGGCGAGGGGGTGCTTCATCTACGGTAACCATCTTCCGAGCCTTGAAGACCAGGTGAGCAGTAGTTGGTAGGGCGCGCGAGGACGGCAAGGCGGCGAAGCGGTCGGCGGCGTACATAATGAAGAGACCTTTCTTTGGGGGGGAGAAGGGTGAAGTGTTCGCCGAAAGAAGTGGTGCCAGGTCGTTTTCGAGGGGTGAATGGGTGATTCTTTCAACCATCGAAAGCTGCGAAGGTCATTCGTTGGAGTTGCGGGAGTGTTCCTGTCTTCGTCGTTGTCGGTAAGCCAGATGCCGCCAATGTAAACGAACAAAGTCTCCGGTACCAACGTCAAGCTCCTGGCCATGCGGAGCTCCGTATCACCCCCCCATCTCCCCCCCCTCCCCTTGCCTTGCCTATCCGCGAACGCATGCTCGTCGACACCTTCAGGCGGAGAATCAGCTGCTGCCGCTCCTCATGACGTTGAACACGCCGCACTTCGACTTCGGGTCGTGCAACTTCACGCTGAAGCACATGTGCCGCGTGGACAGCGGAGACGCCGGCCTGAGCGCGGAAGGGACCGGGCGGGTCTTCTACGGTAAGCATGCGGGAGTCCTGCGGTCATACACGCTGGAGTGCAACTACAACACGGGCAAGGTGAGCGAGATATATATATATATAGAGAGAGAGGGGACGGATCGATCTCTCCGATGGATATTGACTTTGTCGCTGTCGCGCTCGAGCTGCCGTGCCCCGTCTGAGCGCACGGTTGTGTGCGTGTTCGGCTACCAGAAACACGAGCGTCCAAACCGCCGCCCGCCCACCCACCCACCCACCCGCCCTCAGAAAGTGTGCGCAAGGGTAAAGGAAGGATGATGATACACATGAATACGGGTTGGTACGGTAAGAAACTTGTACCGGTGAGATGAACGGTGGCTGTCCCGGGAGAGAGATAGATGGGAGTGACGGCACCCACGATTCTGCTGTTGTTGTCCGACCTGTTCAGGCTATGTGCAACCACATTCCGCCGGCGAACGGAGGGAGGCGAGGAGAGCTGTTCGCGAGTCCCGAGAGGAAGAGCACGACGCCGCCGCGGTACCATCCGCAAATCTGGCGGGATGTTGGCGCGGGGTTCCTGAAGGCCTTGCTGGATGCCGAGGGCGCCTCTGTCTGGTCGAGGCTGCCACAGTCCAAGTTCAGATCGCTTGAGAGGGTGAGCATAGGACGAGCGAATGAACGCCCCCCCGAGATCATCGAGCTGGTAGGTGGCGGCAAAACTTGTCTCGACAAAGCTTTTGTGCAGCTGTTGGTGATGTCCACACCGCTCAAGGCTAGCTGATGGGCTTGCGCGAATTTACATTCTTAGAAGCAGCGTAGATCTACTGAACCTATACAGTACTGCTGTAGCGATAGATTATAAAGCGCATGACACTGTATTAAGTCATCGATGTCGCCTCGCACCCGCCGCGCCCCGCCGATCACCCCTCGACTTCTCATCGTGCTCTCCACGTTGCCCTCCCCGCCCCCCCCGCCGTTTCGAAACGACCTTCCTTTTACCCCTAAGGCGAGGAAACATCTCATCAACGAGCTCCGCAACCAGCCATCGTACCGAGAGCAGTCGCTGCTCCTACGGCGGGGGGGATCTTTTCCGGCCACCCCGCCGTTGCCAACCCCGCCCCAGGAACCGGGGCTTCGAGGAAAGAGAAGGGGGAGCACTGGAAGTGTGTTTGGTAGTGGCAGTGATGCTTCTCCTCCACTGTCGGGGCAATCCTCAAACCTAGACAAGGCGCCGGCGGCTACGATCACGGCGGATCTCGCCGGGGCCGGGAAGAACGGCGGCGGCGCTACCGCCTCGTCGAGCGAGACCGACACCAGCAGGAAGCTGTCGAGCTCACGACCACCACCACCCCTGCTGCCGCGGCGTCCCGTAGGCCGGAAAGTCTCCACCAGCAGGAGTCGATCTGGGGAATCCGTCCACAGGACGTCAAGCCAAATTGGCGGCGGCGGCGGCGGCGGCGGCGGCGGTATTACAGTGGTACCGACGAGGCGGATCGGGAGCGGCAGCAGCGGCAGCCGGAGCGGCAGCGACCGTGGCAGCGGTAGGGCCGGCGCAAGCAGCGTGAGCTGCGAGAGCGGCGCTACTCGTGATAGGGCGAAGGCGGCGACGGGGCGGAAACCGCCATCCCCGAACCCCGGCCGCTGCCGGTCCGCGTCTGGGAAAGCGAGGAGAGGGCCGCCAAGCACCGGCCGAAGCAAGAGAGGAAATGGATCATCATCGTCGGGGAGAGGAAGGGGCAGGGGGGGAGGGAAAAGAGGCGATGGAGACGACAGCGGCGGCGGAAAGAATGGAGTCAGATCGTCATCCTCTCGGTCCGAGAGACGGAGGGGCGGTGGCGCGAGCACGAGCAGCCCTCCGTCACGTGGCAGGAGTGCCGCCGCCCTGGATCGGTCTAGGCACGTCCGTCGTCACAGTAGGAAGCAGCACCACCACCAACGGCTGCAGAAGGCGTCGCCCCCGCTGGTGGTGCCCGTTCTCCCCAAATACCCGCTCGTGTCATCTTCCTGCCGCCGCAACACCCTACTGTTGCAGCAGCAGGAATCACAGGACGATAACCAGTAGACAACTGTAGATAGATACCGCGTCGCTCCCCTCTCACAATCAATGGCTAGAAGTCATACTTCACTACAACAGAGTACGGCAGACGTGGTGGGTGTAAAAATATTCATCTGCCTATGGCGGTTTGTGGGGGGCAGTTTTTTTTGTCGGAGCTTTTGTATCTCTGTGACAAAAATCGTCAACGGGGCGGGGGATGTTTGGTACTTGTATTCGTGCCGGTGTGCGTACGTTTGTAGAGCATCGCGCATATCTCCCACGTTGTAGGTATGCGTCCTGTCTTGGTAACGTATCTTACGCCAATGCGGCACTTGCCGTGATTATTTGCGACAGGAGGAAATTATCTACTGAAAGTAAAACGCATGTTGAAAAAGCTTGAAGCGTCGATCCCGAGGTCCTTATCTGCTTTCTTCATCGCGCAAACTTGTCCAAGAGTATCTATAGTATGCAGATTTTAGTCCTGAACGTATGCATGAACGTCCAATGGTCTGTAGGTGTACACGCTCGTATGTGAATGAATGCTGTATCACACGCTACAGCCGAGTGGAGGTATCATATTCACTTGTTGTGTAATGACGCTCAATGTATCGTTCAGAAACAAACGCGCCCGCCAATCTCCACCCTTCAAGGTACCTTTAGGCGCACGAAGCAAACACGCGCAAGTTGTCCACAGCAGACAAACAAATGATTGGTAATACACTTGGATACAACGCCTCCGCGGATCGCGAAAAACAGGCATGCATTCAGACTAGTATGTCCAGCCCCGGTCGGTCGTCACGCCTTCCGGTTCTCCCCGTGTCGGAGATTTCGCTATTCCGCCGCACATCCCCAGCAGCGGCGCCTCTGCTGATCACGCATCGATCACACCTGCTCTCTTCGCGCGCGCTCTCTCTCCCCACACTACGCAGCAGCAGAGCAGGTGCACAGGATAGACCATGACGACCTCGACACCCCTGTTTGAAGAGGTTGCCTCTCGAGATGTGCTGGGCTTCAGCTTTGGGGGGCGCTCCTATGCAGACCAGCTCACGGACGCGATCGCCAAGACGAAGGTCGTCTGCGGGGTCAAGGTCGAGAGGAAATCCATCGGCAAGGAAGGGTACACCACTGAGGTCGTGTACGTGCAACACGACTTCGGCTTCCTAGGTGCGCTGCTACCCTCTCTCTCTCGCAACGCCGAGACCCCGCACGACAGCAGTTAGTGGTGTCAACGGAACGGTGATGAAGAAGCACAGGGTGCCTGCGCTCCTCCTGTGATTGCGTGACGTGCATGTTTTGCTTGTTCCCTGCTTGCCTGCCCGCGAGCTCGAGTTGTTCCTCCTGCCTCCATCTTGCTGCTGCTGTGTACACACACACACAAACGCGCACACAGCTGTCGTTGCTACGCCGGGACGCGACTCATCCGCCATGCCCCGCGTACAGGCGGGTCTCTCGGTCAGGCTGAGGGCGAGAAGATCACGCGAGCCTTCGAGTACGGCCTCGAGCACAGGCTCCCGGTGGTGGTGCAGTGCCGATCGGGCGGGGCACGGATGCAGGAGGGAACCATGTCGCTCATGCAGATGGCGAAGGTACGTGCACCCAGACGGCGGCCGGGGCCGCTGGCCAGCCGGCCCAGGCATTGCCCTTCTTTGGTCGTTGCGTGATTGCATGTAATTTAGATGTGATTTTCGGTGTGGAGATATCCCCTTTACAAATCGTGATGAGAGCAAAAATTGTGCCCTTGCCATTGTGGACAGCAAAAGAGGGTGTCCTGTGACCGTCGGAAATAGAGCGGAACGTTGGGACGACCACTGTACATATTGGTGACGTAAGATACCACCCCCTGGACCGATTTCCAAAGCTCAACCACTCCACGAGGAAGAGCATACCATCATCAAATTGTATGTTTTCGGAAAATTTCGACGAGACGGTTCCAACGCCGCCATTTCCGGCACCAGCACTGTATCTACAACTGCTGTAAGAGTAATCGATCTTTGAGAAAAAGTCCAGGGGGTGTGATATCTTGTGTCACATACCGTTGGCAGGGGCTCCGAGCATTCCGTGCATCTCGTCTACGCCACCAGTTTTTAGTGCTGTCCTGGCCACGCCTTGCGTGCTGGGTCGCATCCGCCGGGCGATGGAATGAGAGAAACCCGCACGACGTTTTTGCACTACCGGTCGTGGTCGCTGCTCGATTTGCTACGAAGCAGATAACGGTTAGACTACAACGTCTGCATGTGTACAACAAAGAAAATGCGAGAGATCGGGGAGTCTTGTCGGCTCCACCAAATGTAGACTACGCTCCTCCTGGCTTTGACACTTCTTCCTGCACGCGCAACTGCACGCTTGCTGTTGTGGCTGCCATTCAATCCCGCACGTGTCGTTACCTTCCGTCGGAAAATTTACCGTCCTTACTTGTTGTGAGGCAAAAATGGTCTTTGGGATCACTGCCGAGAAGATTGTTCCGTGAGAAACACTCGTGAAGTCACATCCTCTTGGCCACTCGCAGTAGAGACGCTACCTGTTCTTTCACACCCGCAATCCGTTCGGTCCCCTATCAAGCCAGGCTGCACCCCCGACTCCTATCTTGGTGATTTGGCTCACTCGTCGCCTTTGCAAGTTGACATGGAGTTGTGTTGGCGTCCTTGTATTCTACAATCGGCCTTGCTTGGCCTTGGATATTTTGGTGATCATTTCAGGAGGTTGTTCTGAGGGCCTTATTACGCCGCTTAGGCTGAGTCGTACGGCTTGATTTTTTCAGGAGTGAATTTGGGGGGGGGGGGCCTTCTCTGAGCCCAAAAAATTATTTGGGCGTCTTGAGGGTAGGAAAATGGCAAATTCCAACAGCCCAAAATCCAACAGCGCAAATTCCAACAGCGATTCTGGCCGGCCTGTTAGAAAATTGGCCCATTTTCCAACAGCGATCCTGTTGGAATATCGCTGTTAGAAGTGGGGGGAGGTACCCCCTGGTCACACCCCGATCGTGCCAGAACGAGGAACTACACCGTCTGCTGGCCAAACAGAGGCCAGCTTCATGAGGTCATGTACAAACCCTCTGCAGGTATCTAAAATTCAGGGCGTTCTGCGTCGTGTTGGCCGCACACGAACCGAAAACGTCAACCCTGCCACATTGCTCTGCTGACGTTCTTGCCTTTCGGCCGAAAAGAGCCGTTTTTGCGCCTGCTGCATGTGTCACCAGTTGAAAACGCACGCCAGAGAGCGGCCTTAAGCCGTCGACATCCACAATCTGCAGCCAATGGCCTGTGGTCAAACTCATACCCTCTGGTCGCGTACCAGAAACAGAGCGTATTGTCCAGTTTTAATTGCACACGGCCTGCAAACGTGAACCAAAGTGTGTTGCGGTGTTGACTTTTTGGGCTTTTTACTTGTTCCGTCGCGTGTTTGCTCCGTGTGTCACCCGCGCCCATTCTAAAACGCATGCCAGAGAGAGGCCTTTGGCCGACATCCATAAACAGCAGCCAGTGGCGTGTGGTCATACACATACCCTCTGCTCGCGTCCCAGAAATAGAGCGTTTTGTCCAGATGTGATTGCACACGGCCTGCAAACGTGAACCGAGGTGTGGTTCGGTGTTACCCTTTTTGGACGTTGCCTTTTTTTCGTGCTGCTTGCTCCGAGTCGAGTGTGAACAGTGTACAACGCATGCCATCAGAGAGAGGCCTTTGGCCAACGACATCCGCAAACTGCAGCCGATAGCGTGCGATGATACACATGCCCTCTGCAGGCGACCCATAAACAGGGCGCTCGGTGTCTTGTTGGTCGCACACGGGCCAAATCCGTGTACTGAAGCATGATGTGACCCACAAGAACATAAATCAGCCTCTTTTTTCCCTTCAGAAAAAAATACACCTCGAGAAACCGTAAGACGGTCGTTTGGATCTCGATAATTTTTTCCGTGCAGGCCACCGCCCCCCGACCGAGAGAAAAAAAAAGCCCCGAAATAATCAAGCCGGAAGACTCGACCTTACAACCGCTGGAGTCTAGGGGTGGTTTTAGGTGCTGTTTCGGCCGAGTTGCAGGCCTACTATCGACTACCATCGATGAAGGGGCAACGATGAAACACGCTTAACATACGCATGTTGTTGGCATGCATGCATGTTTGTGGCAACGACGATACATTGTGTTCCAAACATTTGTTGGCATTCATGCATGCTTGTGGCACCGACGAAACACGGTTCTTCTACACCCCGTGGTAGTGGCATGCATGTGGTACGTGGCAACAACGAAACACGGTTTTCCGCAGCACCTATGGTAATGACATGCATGTCATATGTGGAACGACGAAACACGATTCTTCTACACCCCGTGGTAGTGGCATGCATGTGGTATGTGGCAACAACGAAACACGGTTTTCCGCAGCACTTAAGCGGTAATGGCACGCATGTCGTATGTGGCAACGACGAAACAAGTTGTTTTTACACCTATTGCATGCACGCCACCCCCCCTCCCCCAGGTCTCGGTCGCGGTGGACGCTCTCCGGCGGGAAGGGGTACCCTTTGTGTCCGTTCTGTCGGACCCCACCTACGGAGGCGTTTCGGCGTCTTACGCCATGCAGGCGGACGTCCGGGTTGCCGTCGGGTCAGCCCGCATCGGTTTCGCGGGGCCCGCTGTGATCCTGAACACCATGTTCGAGATGGACCAGAGCAAGTTCGACGTGGCGTGCCCCGAGAACTTCCAGGTGCGGTTGGCTTTGACTCTTTCTTGGTGGTTTGGGTTATTCGCGCGTGTGTTGTGCATGCCTGGTGTGTATGTTGGATGCCCAGGGACAGCGGGGCAATGACACACACACATGGTCGATGATGCTAGCATGGGGCAACACACACACACACACACTGCTGTTAGGGCCTTTTCCCCATTTTAGCCGCACCGAGATTGACGTATTTTCATTGGTCACCCGGAAAGCGCAGTGAAAAGGTAAGAGAGTACACACACAAAGCAGCAATGGTGCTGGCATTGGAGGAACAGACGACGCGACAGCAATGCTGCTAGGTGGTGTTGAGTCTTCTCCTTGTACTTGAAAAGCAGGACACGGCCGTCCAACTCCTGCCCCCCCTCACCACCAACCTGCCGGGAGCACCGTCACAGTAGATACTCTTATTGTTCGCGTTTCTTGTCCCGCTGCAAGTACTGACTCCTTTTCGTCGATCAGCCGACTACATACTACGGCCCGACGCTACGACCAAAGGCACGCGTCAGTCGGGCTATGCAATACACCTCTTGTTGTTTTTCTTGTTCGGTGTATTTCTTTGCGTGTGGGCGCACCGCCCGAGGTGACACGTGAGAAAGTGAGTGAGTAGGGCCCCCCAGGACATAACAGGGTTCCTTTCCTCCACCTTTGTTCTGCGACGGTGCTTGACCCTTATCGAGATCTTCCATACCGAAAAGGACGATTCAGCAGTCTCTTCCCCTCGTCGACCGTGAAGAGCCTGAAGTCTCGTGAAAAGCGGTGCCACTCATGAAGCGACCGTTTGCTTTGGTCGGCAATGATAATTGCGTTGGTAACTAACAGTTGTTTTCTAGATGGTGCGGACGCACCGACGTTCGAAGTCAAGTCCAGGGTTGGGTGGCCGTATGCATGCCCGGTTGGACGGATGGATTTTGATTGGCTCGCTGTTTTTTTCGGATTTGTATGCCCTCGCCAAAAAACAACGGCCGACGACCCGAAAACAAAACAAAAAACGTGGGGAACGGCTGTTTTTTTTGGATTTGTTGTGTGCCCTCACGAAAACCGACCGGTGGAATCCGACGTTAACATTATCGTTGCAGTCCTCCGAGTACGTAAAGGCGCACGGACAGCTAGACCTGATCGTCGAGCCAGGAGAAGGGCAAGACGCGCAGGAGGCCCTGGAGGAACGCCTGCAGAGCATCGTGTCCCTCCTATTCGGCTCCGGTAGCGAGGGGGGTAAGGGGGACCCCCCCGCCCCCGCGGTGCCTCCGACGAAGGAGGACATGGAGGCGGCCCTCGNGGCCCCCCCCCCGCCCCCGCGGTGCCTCCGACGAAGGAGGACATGGAGGCGGCCCTCGACTACACGCTCGCTCGCAAGATTGACCGCTACCAGGCACAGGACGTCATGTCCGAGGTGTTGGAGGGCTTTGTTGAGCTCTGCGGCGACGGCGCGTATCTGTGTCTTTTTGTGTGTGTGCGGTTGTCGAGTTCGTGTCAACCATGCGTACCGGCTGCTGAGTAATGGAAATCCCTGTTTTCTGCTGCAAGGATGTGTGGGTGGTCGATTTTTTTTTTTCAATCTTGTGTCGTGTTGATCGGGTAAATTTTTTTGCAGTACCCTCGGTGTACACGCACCCTGCACACGGTATCTCGGTAGTATCACAGCCGCAACGGGGGTGACAAGCAGGGAGAAGACGACACAGGGAAAACTTCAGCCTGCAAATGCCACGCAACGGGGCAAAGAAGACAGCGGCAGCACACATTTTATGTCCCGATGTATACGTCTTCCGTGTACCTCGACAGGTTTCGATTTGGGAAGATGACAGTAGTAGCACACGTTTCGTTTTGCGTGCGGGCGTATGTCCACACGCATTCTTTTGATCTCCGAGACAGGTGTCGGACGACTTCTGCCTCAAGGGAGGACTGGCGCGCATCGGGGGCACAAGGGTGGTGGTGATGGGCACTGTCAAGGGGCACACGCCCGGAGACATGCNGGGGGGGGGGGGGGGGGGGGGGGGGGGGGGGGGGGGGGGGGGGGGGGGGGTGACGGGCAGAAAGCGGCACGGGTTGTCCCTTAGGGGTGCTGCTGATGCATTTGGTGGTTTGTTGTGTCGTAGCCCGTACCCGAACTTACAGAACATGCCGGTGCCCCACGTACGTACAGAGTAGAGGGCCCCTGTTTCGTGCCGATTGTATAGTGCCAGTACCCGGTATAGTGCCGGTATTTTCGGCGGACACGCACTGAAGTAATTCTCAAGTCAGTCTCAAATACTTGAAATATTGTCGGTGTCCGGTATAGTCGGTGGATTTTCTGGGCACGTGCTGGCACTACACAGGGACCTCTGCTGAATGAGGGCGGCGAGCGGCACCTTTGGTTTCCGCGGGAGGGAGGCACACCCTTTAATCGAGCCCCCTCTGCACGAACGTGCCGGGTAGTCGTTGCAGGGTCGGGTTGAGATCGACACCGGCTCCTTCATTCGACCACTTCGGACGTAACAAAATTATGTCACGCTGCATTGAAGCTACTGCTGTGCTTCGCCGCCAGCACAGATTCCAAGTGATTTTCACGTGCCATGATGCTGTCAGTATTTCATGGCATTTCTGTAGGTACAGTAATCTGTTTTGAAGCGGTGCGTTTTGGTTACACCCTCCTCCCCCCGGTGTATGTCATCAGGGTTGGGTTTTCGTCGGTTGGCAACGACGTTTAAACAAGCCGATGATCACTTCGTGAGCTCGACAACCTGGTTATCTCATTTTTGTTTCCTTTGTTTTTTTATTGCGGTAACCACAATGGTCGTCTAGTAGATTCTGTTGTGCGGGGTTGAAAACCCTCACTCCGCGCAAAGGGGATGATCGTACCACATTATGTTAAATTGGTGAAGCATCCTCGAGACAGTTACACAGTGCCCATGACTGTCTCTGGAAGTGAAAACATATGAATTATTTTATACTTCGAAGTATGTCATTTCTCCGGTTTGGCCCATGATTATTCATGTAACGTAGTGAAATGAATGGATAGGTGAAAGTCCTGCTTGTGCGGGACCGCTCCGTTGGATTGACTTGGCCAGCGGCGGGGTTTTTACCCTCCCGTCCCTATCTATATATTTGGGTTGTATGTGCGTGTGTTTGTGCAGGCATGCCAAGCCCCGCGGGGTACCGAACGGCCCTGCGCCTGTTCCAGCTGGCCGAGCGTTTCGGCCTGCCGGTGGTGACCCTTGTGGACACCTGCGGCGCCTGGCCTTCTTTCGAGGTATGTTTGTATTTTTTTGCCTTTGCCGTCGGTGAGTGCTTGCAGCAAGCGCGCGGCGCTGTGGTGTATGACGGCGGTGTTTGTGGCTGAAGCGTGTGCTTGGTTTGCTGTGTGTGTAGTATTAATAGTATACCGTAGGTGACATTGCGTAAGATAGCACACCCCCTGTACCGATTTTCGTGGCTCGATTTCTCCGCAGCGAGAAACT